ATGAGATATATAATTACATATCAGTGACAACTTGGCAACCTAACTTTTTTATCATGACGTTTCATTAGTAAAGACAATGCTAAGCCCACACGAAGAGATATGGAGTAGTAATGATATCTGTCCTCTAATCCTAGCAGAAACCACTTTGGTATAAAACTTGAAGGCAAAAATAGTGAAGACTAGTCTCAAGAGTCCATACCCAGATATCTGAAGCACAGTACTCCATTAACAGCCTGCAGCTGATCGGTGTGCTCTCAAAGAGGTGGCATGAGGTGGGTTTTTACTGGGTTTTATTTCTGTTTGGTTGCCTTTTGTATGTTTCGAATTATAGGTTTTCTTGGCTTTTTTTTAAAGACAAGTGTAAAATGCCTCTAAATGAAAAAAGTGACTCCAAGCAAAGCTTACTGTTCTCAATATGTGAGGAAAAAAACAAAATCTGAAGGTTTGTTCAACTCAAACCAGTTGATTACTACGCTCAACAATTGGTTGCTTGCTCACTGACTTCACCAGCAGACTTACAACGAAGTCAAAATCAACTCCTACCACTTTAGAACTTCTTTTCCCATGACTGTTGTATGTCCACAAAGGCTATTTTTTAAAAGCTTTGAATATTATATCCCCAACATCACACATCCAAGGTATGAGAGGGTATTGTCATCCTCCTTTCAAACAAATATCAAGAGCTCTGTACATAGTTCTTGCTCACAACTTACTATCTAGACAACTCTACCTTCCTCCCTTTCTCTTCAAACAGTTCTTGGGTGAGTGAATTGATACATAGATGTTTCTATTTGTACAAAGTCGAGAGGTAATTTGTAAGAATTAGGAAGAAGTGTGGGAGTCATCTGGTTTTTTTCAAAATGTAATCAAGGACCACAGGTCCAGATTTCTTAGTAGGTATTTCAGTGATGTGGGTATTACTCTGGTGCAAATGCCTTCTAGTTAAGTTATTTCAGTAGAAGCTCTTTTTTCCCTTTCTTGAAAAGCCTTTGACCAGATTTACTGCATAGCACTGAAATAAACTACCTTTCATGGCTTGGGCCTCAGACTGTCATAAGCAAAGGAGGAAAGAAGGATGAATGTCTTTAAGACTAGAGAACATTAGAACTGAAAACAAAATCACAATGTTCTCAAGTTCAGCACATTTTTAAAGGACAGGTGATTTGATTGGTTGCTGCGCAAATGGTTATGTTGTTTTTCTTTAATATTGACAAATACATAAGCACCTAATAACTTTGGGATGTTTTAAGTTACAGAAGATACAGACTTCCCCATATCTTTTATCTTCTAAGCCTCATTAGAATGTGGCTTTAACATCAGAATATGGTGTACATAATCAACTAGAAAAAGATAACAGAAAATATTTTAGACAAGTTCTTCATGCTTTAAAACTTGTCTTTGACGTGATATGGTTCAGGCTTCCATCTGAGTAAAAAACAAACTAAAGAGGAAGAGTGTGACTTTATCATGATCACAGAGTGATATACAGTTTTTCTGTTCTTGCGTAGTGCCTGATGGCCTGGAAAGCAATATATTGTTGTTACAAACCTTTTGTGTGCTACAGATTACCTTTTTAAGAAGAAACTAAGTCCACATGTGAAGAGCATGCTGTGTCCACGAACTGGACTTGGTCTTGACTTGTTAAATTTAAAACAGTTCTGCAGCAAATCTGGAAGCTGACAACAGAAGTATTGCTTGATGGTAGTGGTTGCTTAGGCTACTTACTTTAATTTACTTACCAGGAAGATTATGCCACTTGTTTACAGCAAACAGCCTATTTGCAGTAACTGTGATCACAGCAGGAGTGGCTAGACCAGGCTGGGTGTTGGCTGCTACATGAGTGACAGGGGAGTTGGATGGGAACTTTAGAACCATGATAACGTCCTGTTGAGCTTGGTCTGTGAACATCAACGGACTCTGCAGGAGGAGATACTGTTGAGTGCACACAACAAGAACCCAAATACATGGGAAAAGAAAACATGGGGAGGAGAAGACAGGACAAGAGAAGGAAGATTGGATTAAAATACACAGGGTCCAATAGCAGCTGCAGTGAAAAGCAAATGCAATAATAGTGGAAGGGCTTGTGGAAACAACAATTTTCAGCAGAAAAACCTTCATGTACGCTATTAATCTGGGAGCCTTGTTGAGCACAGTGTCTATATGCAAACTTTGCTATGGATCACAGCAGATTAAAACAAAAGTTTCCAATCACCTATCTCTGCCAAAAGAATTCTCCTTCATATCTGCAGAGATAGCATGTCAAGGAAAACAATGCCAAACTAGGAAGGAACACACACAAAAAAAAAGCGAGCAAAAGAAATTCCTGCTCCCAGAGATTGTCTCAAGTTGCATTAAATTGGCAGACTGCAATTCTTTACAAGCCAGATGAGAACATGAAAGCACATTAAAATAAACAGATACACACATACACTAGATATATGTTCTGTATATATTTCTGGTGTACAAAAATAAGATTTATGAATGCAAAGTAGAAGACTTTACTGCAAATGTGTTTCAAAGGACAAACATAATTAAATGCAGTTGTAAAGAAGATAAAGTGGATGTGATTACAGACACTATCCTGTGTTGTTTCTAGAAATACTAAAGGGAGGGAATGAATCCAGACTCTGATTTTCAACATAATATTTTTAAGTTTCAGTTTTCTAATTTAGTAAGTTGAAAAGTTTAACAACTTTTTAACTAAGCTATACTAATAGTACTTCAAATGTCGAAACAAAATATTGAGGACCTTAGCTTGGGGCATTGAACATAAGGAGGAACAGCAAAACTTAATGGGTTTGTGATAGTGTGGTGTACCTAAAAATGAGAACTCCGTTGAGATGTAGAAATACAACCATCCTAGTCATCAGTAGCCATATTGCTCTAGTATTTGTAATTTTCTAATAACTGAATTAGAACACTAATGAAGTGTCTTAGCTCTTTTCCACCTGCAATATTTCATTACATATATGTGTATGTAAGTGAATACATTTAATGTATATTTATACAGAACTAATAAAAAAATTAAATACATTTGCATTTTTATCACTCCTTTTTAAAAAGTTATTAAGAGTACTTAGAAAAACATATTGCTCTATGAATTCCTATTTACAGTCTTTGCATAAAGGTGTAAATAAAAGCAACTAATAAGCTACCCAGACACCCTTCTGAGCAAGTGGCTAAAAGCCAATCAATATTATGAGTTAATCCTCCCTGGATGCTCATTCAATTAAAGGTGTCAGTAATGCCTCATCTGATGTGGCCTCAATTAAATCCAGCTATCTGATGGTTGAAAACACAAGGGGATACAGCAACAGCAGCAAAACCAGACAAATAGGCAGCCTTCGTGTGACTGCTAATTACTACACCTGGTGTATATTATGGCTTGTGCACTTAACACAGCACGTGGTAGCTTTGAATTTGGCTGTATTCATGCATATGTGCACACAAACACACACACACATGCAAAACCAGAAAACTCATTAAATAATATAACTAGAAATAATTCAAAATTGTGACAGGAAAAAAATCCTTACTGTATTTCAGCTCCAGGAATAGTACTTTTCAAACCACTTAATATAGCGCTATTACAAAAACATATATTAATAACCACAAAACTGGTCAAAGCAAGTGGAGAACTAAGGTTTTTTTTTCCTGTGTGTACCTCAGCCCCCCAGAAACACAGGATTTAGCTAACTTCATAGAATTTAACTTCTTCCATTACATACTAAATCTTTACTAATTCAGTGTCATAAAAAATATTATGATAAAACCACACAAACTGCTTCCTGGCGTCAAATTTATTTATATTACAATGGGTCTGACAAACATATCAACAATCAACTTCTCAAGTTCCTCCTCTTCCTGAAACAAATCTCTCTAAATTAGAGCAAGTGCCCAGTGCATGGCACCATGACAGATAGATGCACATATGGCATGTATGATAAGGGTACTTGGGCTCCCCAACATCCCTGTTGACAAGGCTTTTCTGAAAGAGAGAACCCCATGGACAGCCCACACAAGTCACTGTGGTGGTCTGCAGCCCTGAGACACTATGAGGGAGGTGCAATGGGCCAGCAGATCACAAATTAGCACAATCGGCTTCGTCCATCCAGTGCATGGGATCCCAGGGCAGGAGCACAGCTGTCAAGTGCAGCACGTACAGGCTGCGGAAAGGGTGGTGGGGATGAGGGACAGTCAGCTGGGCAAGTCTCAGGTACAACACATGATGTATTTGAGAAAGCCTAGTAGCTCAATTTGACCAGAAAGTTTACGTTTCTTAGACATCTACATTACAAGGCTTGTAAGGTACTTTGGGAACATTTCAGGGTTTTGTGTAATTTTTCTAAAACCTTTTGTACTTCAGATATATTTCTAATCTAATAACCTTAGTCTGCTTGAGTAGGACATATGTCTTACAGAACATATAAGAATAAAATGTCTTTTCTTATATTTCAGTGTAAAATGTTGATCTTAACAATAAGGGAACGTAGCCTTTTGAAAAACTTGTGAATTAGCACCCACTTGTTGGAGTATCACTTAACATGCTTGGTTCTGGATCTATGACAACACAAATGATATTTTAGACCCAAGGACAGCACACAACATGATATGGAAAGTAATCAGCAATAAAATAATAGTTTGTATAATAAAATTATATTAGGCACAAGTAGAGGTAAAAGAGAAAGCATGTTAATGCTCACTGCCTGGATTTTATTACCCTAGCTTTACTGCAAAACACATTTAGTCACATTCTTTGCTATGTAAGTTTCAGCTCATGAATTCCTAGTAATCCTGGTTTTAGGGGAAAACCTATGCCTGAGGGAAAAGACATGGAAGTTCCACCTCCTAAATCCATGCTTCTTGGGGAATCTGCCAAAGATTAGCTAAATTGTCTCCATGATGACTGGCTCTCACCTGTACAGGTATGGTATTAACAAAATCAACTGATGAAGTGTTCTTAGATTACACTGACAAAAAAGGTCTGTACTAGAAATCAATACAATCCTTTCAGCAATAAATAAATAGTTAAGCACTGCATACACTCCCAGTCACACAAAATCATAACTCATCTGCTGTTTTAAATAACATAATTCCACGACCACAAAAAAGCAAAGCAAAGTGACTGGTTCTGTAACTTTAAGATAGCAAAGGAAGTGAACGAAATAGCAGGTCACAAAGAGTTAACATGGTACTTACCACCTGCATGGCAGAACTTCTTGGAGGATGTGGTTCTATGAGCAGTTGCGAAGGGGTCTGTCCAAAACTTCGTATTTGAGCTTCAACAGCCTGGAAAAGGCACAGGCAGGTTTGCATGTTAAGAGGTGCTAATTACAGGGAATAGAACCATAACTGTCACCTGAAAATGTCATTCCACACTTCTGGCTTGTTTCATGTTGAAAATCAACCCCGTGTGTTCACTGTGGGGCTAAGTGCTTGGCACTGGTACTAAGAATGAGGTAATCATTTTAGTACTGTGGATGCTATTTCCATGAGAAACTCTGCAAAACCTCATCCTGCTCAATGATATTAAACAGAAACAAGCTATTATAATCAGAAACCCTCTTTATTGGCTCCATTTTTCCTTTCTAACACTGGCCTACCCTGTTTGTATCATAACTCAGAAACAAAAGTTAACTTTTTAAAAATTTCTATAGGTATTAAGTGTTCTGTTTTCTATTTAAACTCCATTGCTTAGTTTCACAGCAATAACTACAATTAAAGCAATACTGAGCTGTTTTCTTATTTTCATGTTTATTCAAAATGAGCAAACGACTTTAGCATGTATTGAAGTACAAACAGCAAAACTAAATTACACATGCAGCTAAAGGAGAATATGATATAATATATATATATAGATAATGATATATTGCAACAAACTTTTTAAGAAAGTTTCTCTGTATCTTCAGCAACATGCTTTCTCACTTTCTTCATAAGGCATATATGAAAATACGATCTTGTGCTTAGTGATTTCTTAAAAATAATGATTCTGAAATGTGTGAACTTCTATCTCTTGCCTAGGCATGTCCATCTCATTTTCCATGTTGCCACCTATTGCCCACTGGCTTAAAGATAAAATCAAGTAGCCAAAATTCAACAAGTTATTTCTTGTCAGCCAGCCCTGCACTATCCACAGAAACAGGCTAATAATTAAAAAAAAAAAAAATCTTAAATCATTCATCTTAGATTAAATCTCTTTCATTGTGAGCTAAAGTAAATAAAATTACCTTGCATTTGCTGTGGGCTAAGAGATTGCATATGGGCTGATACTTTAGTTTCCCTGTGACATGGTGCATTGAGCCCTACGTTCTCAAAGTATCTAGAGATGCTGCGTACCTAAGGTGAGGCATTAGCAAGTCCTGCGTTCAAGAGAAGTCCTGAAAATCAGGTCCTTCAAAAAAGTGTTTTAAATGGCAAGTTTGATTACTAGAACACAAAACCACTAGCCACTTTTTAGTTACTAGAACAATGTGTTTTGCTATCAGAGATTCTTCTTTTTAATAGTTCAACATACCTTGAGGCTCCTTACACTTATATTTCCTGTTCTATTTTAGCCACCCATTAAAATTTTTGAGACAATGGAATAACACTTATGCTGAACTTATTCTAACAAATAACTATTTTTAGATAATAATAAAGACTATTACTAGGACACACAATTTTCTCCTCTTACAGAAATAACAAAACCAAAAGTAGAATGCACCTGAGGCCTTACAATCATCAAAAATAATCATTCTATGATAGAAAACATGTCATCTAAAACACTTGACCTTATTACATTTGGCAGAGCTTTCGAAATATCTGAACTCACCAGAAGAGGAATTGCAATTACTCTATGGACAGATTCTAAAATTCTTGCCCACTCTGGGAAGCAACTTAATCTTCAAAGAACTGGTGAATAAGTAAGTTTATCAAAAAGCTGGGTGAAATCTGACATACAAACACAAGTGATTAACAAGCAGTTTTTGAGGAACCGCAAAATCAGATTTGCGAAACACTAAAGCTCAGTAAGACCATCAGAATCCTCTTCCTAGTGATGACATTAAAATTCAAATCTGGGTTTTTATGACTCAAGATATCAAAGGAATCACAAACACATAGAATTTGTGTCCCTTAAGACATTAGGCATTGACAAAGCAACAGCATACTGGTCAGCAGCTCTGCCTTCTCCATAAAAAGCTGTTAGTTTCAAAACGTTCAGATTAAAAAGATTTGCTTACATTTACTTGCAGATTGTGCAGAACATTTTTACTAGCAAACAAGACCCCAAACTGATGTAGAACAAAAAAGATATGTTACAATGTTTTAATCAATGAAAGATCAGCAGTCACAATGCTTTTTACCACTGTCCAGATCTCAGAGGAACTCACTACCTTCCAGCAACATAAAAACTGGAAGAGACACTTATGATTCCACTGCTTACTCACATACATGATGCTTATCATAATCACTTTCCTAGACCACACAACAGCAGCAGGAGAACAGCTATTGTCTCCCGCCCACCTTCAGTGCAGAAAAACATCCCTGTGGGATGTTAAAAAAAACAAATATAAAAGATTCTACTCAACCCACAAGTAGAAAGTCACTGCCCATTTCCAAGTAGTGTTCTGTCAGAACTGGTGAAACTGCTGACCAACGGGACAACGAATTTGCCAAAACCTGCCTTAGAGGACCACAAATTCTCTGTTTTCAGTCTTTAACAGACAGTTTCTACATCCATGTGTACGATCTATCTTGAGTTTGGGATTTAACAGTTCCATCACAAACAAGTCTTTTGGACTCACTAAGTTCCATCTGGTCCTTCCAAAAATATGACAGCCTGCATTTCCAGGATTCCAACACTCACCTGACACAATGTTTTCCTTTTAGCCAACAGAACCAGTAAAAATCTGTATTCAGATCATGTCCTATCACAAGTAACAAGGTTTCATAAAACATCAAAAGTACATAAAGTAAAAGCACAGATATTGTTATATGTGTGTCGTCTTTATTGATGTCTTCAGATCCAGAAGAAATTTGAAAAACTGTTGAGTAAAAAAACTACTCAGACAACTACTTCTAGACATAGTGGTGAGACTTCAGCATAAAAACCTTTCACATTCCTTTTAATTGCCAAGAAAAAAATGTAAAGATTTCTTTATTAAGCTTCAATATTTCTTTATTATGGCCAAGAGAGTATACTAGTGACCCCAAATGATTTCTTCCTTTTCCCAGATTGTATTCAAAGTCAATCCAAATGTCAACTTGATGTTCCGATGATGTCTCAGTCAGAAGGATCGCATAAAAAAGGATGCAAGATGACCTCCCTCTGTCAGCAGAAACATGTGATGGTGAAGCTAGAATCAATCCCCAGTCTCTCCATTTACATAACAATGGAAAGAGAAACACAGGGCATTGTAGCCACCAGATGTCACTCAGACTTTTGTTCAACCTGTCAAAGAAAATCAGCTAGGAGCAGGGAATCTTTTCCTCAGAGAGATAATTAATATTTCCTTTGAAAAGGACCTACCACTTACCTGAGAATATACAGTAAAATGACCATCAGCCAAAAAGCCATCAACTTTCTAATAAATTATAGTACAGCTTCTAATTTTTTTCTTGTAAAATGTATTACTAGCATTAGTCGGTGTTACTAAAACAGCTTTTTCTAGTGGCAGAGGAAGGGCATGTGTTCTCACATTGCTGAATCCCTCTGGAGCATATAACCATTTAGATTATTGTAGGTAGAAATATTTAGGAAATTCTCACAACTAGTTTCATAGCTATTAAAGGCACTAGATAACTGGAAAGGAATAATCTTTGTTTAAAGATATCTTTAGTTCCACAAACTCTTATCTGTGAAAGCATGCTGCCTACCACAAAGTAAAAGATAACATCATTCAACATTTTGTTTCACTACTTCTCAAATATCTCAGTAAAATAGCTTTCTTCCTGTTAATCCTCTACTAAAACAAAACTTTGGTAAGGTCAGAATTGTTCCAGATGCTACAACAAGTAGTAATAAAATTAAACAAGAGAACTAACCGTTTTCAATAATCCACACAGTATACATCTCAAATCTTACTTACATGACAAGCATGGTATTTTGAATGTTAATTAACTTATAAGTATGAAAGCCGTAAGAAAATTTAGCATTCATCTGATTACCACAATAACCTGGATAATCTCCTCTTTTCTCGTAGGGTAGGAAGGGGAGAAGGGGAATAGGGAAGTAAATTAAAAGAGGAAGAATAGAAACCTTGAAACCTTGGCTTAGATATAACGTAGTTTCTGGCCACTGCTACGTATGGATATTTTCAGTCTCTGAACTTACCCTCTAATCTAACTGTGAAGAAAGTTAATTCAACAGTACGCAGTACCCACCAAATACGGCTGTAAATTTTTTGGGAAGGAGGGTGATGGGGAGGTTGAACATATGGATGCAGTTAAGGTAAAAACAGATGTTTGTTACTTTTCTTTGCAGCAACACTCAGAAACTAAGTCAAAATTGCTTTTTTTTCATGTTTATGTCTGAAAGAACTATAAAATTAAATATGAGGGAGGGTGGGTGGAGGGGGAACTGCAGTGAGTGTCACAGAGAAAGAATGAAACAGTCTTTAGTTTTGAACTCAGATCCTGAAATAAAGGCCCGTATATTTAAAATGCAAGACATAGACCGTTTAACTCTAGATTTAAAGACTCTTAAAGGGACTAGCTTAGAGTTGCTTTCATCATGCCTGTTCAGACACAAATGTCTGAGCACACCCATGTTAAAATGCACGCCTCTGTCTGAATGCACGACAACATACAACCTCACCATTCGTTACAAGGAGGCTACTTTCAGTCAATCCGCCTTTACAGGTCTACACTACAGTATTTCCAGTTATTTCTCAAATCTGTAAGATTTAGTTGCCAAACATTTCAAAAGCCAGGTGAAATAATATCATGCACTGTAATACATATTCTTCCAGCATACATGTTAGGGACAGAAAACGTTTTGGGTTCATCCTCCGTGTTTCTACCCGGTATTTATGTCCAGCAAATAAAAGCCCTTGCAAAAATAATTACTTTGGCTCTCTGCCGCTCCTGCCTAACTTTTCATTATTCAAAAAGGTTTACACACATGTTCCTCAGTGATTTCTATTGGCTTGAGCAATATGCAATTATGATTACTTGCTTTCCCTTTCCTTCCACCCAGATGTTGCTTTACAGCACCAGAGAACACAGACTATTTGACAGGTTTCCCCTCAGAAAGCCATTCAAAAGAAGTTGAATGGCTTAGCAGCCAACTGACTAGCTCCTTTCCCCATGGGACAGCGATTAAAATCAAGCTCTGG